TTTGCCACTGCTTGTTCCAGCGGGATGCGCTTCTCAAACGCTTCCGCCTGAGCTGCTAAATCTCGTGCCAACAACAGCTCAACCTTTTTTTTTGATGCTCCAACAATCTGCTGAAACATTTCTTCTTTCCTCCGCTTTGACCGATCTTGTAGTATGCGCATGCCGCTCTCAAACTCCTTAATGGACTCTCCAGCGTCAGGACAACGCCATTGACCTGGATGTGACTTGGCAGCGCTGGTCCCACTTCAAACCGGACAAGCTGATCATCGAGGTTCGCTCCGTGTCCAGGAATTTCCACATCTTCTACCTCCTCTGTCTCACCTGCTTCAGGGATGGCATAGTCCTCGATCTCCTCCGCCCTGGGTTTGTACCACTTGAAACCCTCATTCAACTCAAACCCAAAAGCTTCTGGAGTTGTACCTTCTTGAGCGACGAACGTCATGATCTTACTCATCTCTTCCCCCTTCAACTCTTCGATCGGCTCCTCCTGATCTTCCAAGCTGTCGATGGGTTCGGCCATCTCAACCAACTCCCACTTTCCCCTCTTGTTCACTAAGGTGGATCGACAGTAGCCTTCATCTTGACTCCTGAAGCCTGGAATGAACTGAGGGCTTTGATAGGACCGCCTCAAATGCAATCCCAACCAATAACCACTTTTCTTCTGCCACCCAAAGTGCTCTTCTGACGACCTCTGCAGCTCCTCATTCAGCTGGACGGCCAACGTGCGAATCACCTGTGGTGTTGAGATAGTCCTGATACAGGCATCAACCACAAGGCTTTGGTTCTGAAACGTCAACGGCACTTCCAGCTCCCCATGTGTCAAACACATTGAGCTTGCATCCAAGGACCATCCACTCTTCATGAGCCTTCCAAATGAAAGGATTGGTTGGCTCACGCAGTCACTGAAGGTGACTCTTTCTTTCAAGATCACTTGGCGACCTTCTGTAGACCATAGGATGATGTCCACATCTTTACTCCCATAGGTCTTGATCTTGGTTCCTTGGGCATCTTGCAAATAGGACGTACAACCTGTCGCTTCCTCCCCCAATTCTCTCATGAAGCCTGGGAACAGAGATGCATCGGCTCCTGAGTCCACAATCACCGTCATGGAGGGACCCTTGCAACCTTCCTCCATCACCCTTTCATCCACTGTGCTTTCCTCCATTCTCTCATGCACCGTATTCACCACATAGCCCTTTTCTCATATTCAGCCTCATCATCAGTGGAGATGTTGTAGAACTCCACTGTTGCCTCGTGCACAACTCGAATTGAACCATCTGTCGAAGCTTCTCGCAAATCAAAAACAGCTGGTTGTGAAACTCGTCGTACTGACTTTGCTGTCGTGCTCTGATCTCCTCCACCACCTGTACCACTCATTGTAGTAGATGGAGATGTAGTGTGCTGGCTTGATTCGATCCTGTCACGCTTTGGGTTGCCGGTGCTTCGACCTGCCGCACTCGCCAGCAGTCTTTCGCCTGATGTCCAGGCTTCCCGCACGTCCAGCATACTTCTCCATTGCCCTTCCCCTTGCCCCCTTTGTTGTCCTTGGCACCTTTGCCCTTACCTTCTTTTGCTCCTCCGCCGAACTTCCCACCTTTGCTCTTGCCCTTGCCTTTGCCATCCTTTCCTTTCCCCTTTGACTTGGAATCCTTTCCTTTTCCCTTCTGGTCCTTGCCACCTTTCCCTTTCTGTACTCTATCAACTTCCATTGGAACTGGACCATCTGTATTCGAAAGGATTGGGCTCACATTCGAAAAGGACAAGGCGGCTGACTCGTTCCATTTGGTTGTAGCTGTATCGAAGGCCAGGATGGACTCCCTGATCTTGTTGTAACTGCTGCCCTCATTCAACGTGATGTTCAAGTGGGTTTTCATCTGACCCCCCACTGACCTCAGCAAGATCGCTGATTTCATATCACCAGTCAGCTTTCCTCCTCCAAGGCGCTCATACTGGGTGAAGTGTTCTTCCAACTTTAAGATTTGTGGCAGGAGCGAGCTTTTCATGCTGAATGGTGGATATGCCATAATCCCCTGAAGTAAGTTCATCGTCCGATTTCGTGCATGGGGTTGGCAATTTCCAAGGAGCTGTCTCAAGGCTTCGTAGCCATTGAACTTGTCCACTGTCTTCAGGACTCCCACCAACCTTCCTTGTATCAGCCCTCCCAATAGGGAGTACAGAAAACGGCTTCTCTGTTGATCTTCGTCCGAAAGAAGATCCCAGTCATACTCAACTGTGGGATTGGCCTCCATCTTCTCCAGCTCCTCTTGGTATGATCCATCCACAACAACTAAATATTGCTTCAAGCTCCTAAACCAATCTCTCCACTGTAAGACCTCCTGTTCACGGTCTGCTGGATTGAACACTTGTGGTCGGGGTATCAACTTGGCCAAATCTTTCTTCAACCCACCAGAATCACTTCCACTCGTAGGTGCACCCTGACTTGCCGTGGCCTGAGCAGCTTGGCTTGCAGCTAACGTAGCGGCCTGGGCAGCTCCAATCAAGGCTTGGGTGAGCTCGGTCATACCAGCACCTGCCATAGTGAGGTCACCACCTGATCCATCCATCAAAGGTAAAACAATGCATGCGCCAACCTAAGCCCGTAGGTAGTTAGACGCACCCCGGTTTGTACCGGGCTTTGCACGGATCAAAGGCAAGGAAAGAAAACCTTGTCACAAGATGCAAGCGCCCGAGGGCAAATGAAAACAATCCAGGCGGAACCCGGAAAAGAACCTAAGGAGTAGAAGAAATGGGATGCAAAGCATCGTTGATTTCGAAAGCAAGCTCACAAGCAGCAATCTGGCATTTGGCTCTTTGCACAGCCGAATCGGCTGCAGAAAGCACAACCCAACCACTTTTGGACGTGACGCGAGGCTGAAGTGCCCACCAACCAGAAGGGATTTGAAATAAACCCTGAAGAAAATCTCTTTTTGCTCTGAACTTGGGGCACAATGCCCAAAAATGCCGCATGGAGGCAAGCTGCGCATTGCAGAAAGGGCAAGAAGGATCATGGCTATACCCTCCTCTTGTAGGGGTCTGGATCGCACCACCCCGATAAATATTAAGAACAATAAGGTTTTTGCGAGAAAGCTTTGCTCGCCACGTTGACCATAGAGGGTGGGACGAAGCCTCAACATCTATGTTACTGAAATCTTCAGAGTCCAATCGAGAAGGCCGGATCTGCAAAAGGCTTTTGTGTCTAGCAGCAACCCGAAGGACATGAGGTGGAACACCTTCTGGCATGAGTTTGATGGATTCACCATACGCACGAACGAAACGGCTCAAATTTTGATTTTGAGGGTTAACTGAAAAGTACAGGCCCCTATTATCCCAAGACACAAGATGCAAATCCAAGAGTTCAAGGTAAAACTTAACTGCACGGAAAACAGCATTTGGAGGTGGGTTATGAAAGCGGTGCGCAGACAACACAGCTGCACAGGCCAAGCCAAAGATTGGATGAATGTCAATTCTATCAGCCCAAAACCTGCCACTACACCACCAAGAGCACTTCGTGTGATTCAAAAGTTGGTGAAAAAGCTTACTCACAAACGAAACAGGTGGGGGTGCAATGAGAGGCACCGGCCAGGTCCATTTGCTTTTGAAGAAAACACGGACGGCATTCTCGCGGGGCATGATGCCACCAGGAATCTTTGCAAGAAAAGGAAAATTATCGGCAATGGCATCCCACCCATTGCGCAAAGTGGGCAAATCTTGCGAGGCGGGGCACACCGAGAGACCAAGGTGTTCAACGGCATCATTATTTGCCCAAATTTGTGGTTTCTTCATGTTTTCAGAGAAACCAACATCATCATCATCAAAACGACGAGTTGAAGCGAGAGCCTCATTCAGGTCTTCCAAAGTACCGGAGCACCGCAGCGACCTGTCATCACAATATGCCCACGTTCTAACCATGGGGTGCTTGAGGTGAATGATCGCATGCCAAGGTCGAAGAATCTGGGCAAGCACAGTAGGAGACGTGGGATCCCCTTAAGGAATTGACCTAGTGGGAATAAGGGGCTTCAAACAGAATGAACCCAAAACATTCACGAATCTAGGGCTTTTCCACGCTAATTGCAGAAAATTGATGATGCATTCAGGGGTTCCACCGAAAGATAAAGCAGCCTTAGCGGCACCCCAATTCACTGAATCAAAAGCTTTCTGCAAATCAATCTCTGCACCACATTGGCCAGGGTGAGCAAGCCAATCAGCAGTAGCATGAGCAATGCTGGTCTCCTTGCGGCCAGCCCACTGGTCTGCAGGCAATGGAGGCAAAACTTTTAAAACTGCTTTATTCCAACAACGCAAAATGATGGAACTGACAGCAATAGGCCGAGATTCATCAGAAGCTCGCTTTGGGATTCCTACAAGTTTCCAACTGAACAAAAGAAAAACAGTAGGACACTGATTAGGATCGATAGAATCGGATTTAAGGACGACGCATCTTGAAATGTCGAAAAGCTTGCGAAGGAGCCAAGGACACGACCGTGATCCATCCATCCGCCTTCGTACCCTTCTCAAGGTCAGGAACCTTCTTGGGCTTTATGATGTTGGAACTCCGCCAACTCCTCAACCAACCTATCAAACTCAAGGATGGGGGCAAGGCAAATGTCGGTGAGAAAGCTCTCGCTCGGCCTTCACGTAACCACAAGCTCTGAATGCGAGACCACAGCCACACCAGTTCTATGGTCGCTCAGCAAGTGGCGCAGCAAGCACGGGGGCTTCGGGGATCCGCGCTGGAGCTCTGGTGAGATGCTTGAAATCACCGTCACGGCTCCGCTACCATGCGGATAGTGCGTCTTTTGTGCTCTAAGGGCCTGCGGGTTTGTACGTGTACGTTGAGGTGTGTTCTATTTTAACAGTATCGAAAGCCGTTTCTACCGATTTGGGGTTCTCTATATACCCTGCATACGTATGTATGTGTATATATATATATGCATATATATATATATATACGGCATATATATATATATATACGGCATGCTCATTTCTTGTTTGCTTGACAGGTGGAAGCGGATCTCTTGGAGCTTTTGGAGACGTCACCATGGCTGCGCAGCTGCTTTTTGATATGAGAAGACCAGGAGGACTGAGCCGGTCCATGCGAGTTCACATGTCAGAGGAGTTCTGCTGCATGTCCGCCATGTCAGTTCATACATGTCAGGTGACATATGCATTATATATATATATGCGTAAAAGAAACCACTCACATACACTCATGTACAGACACGCATACTGTGAGGCCTTTGCGGTTCGAGAAAAGCACGCATGGTAGCGGAGCTGAGAAGGCTGGCCCCCCTCCTTTCCGGTGCCAGCTGGAGCTCCTAATTTAAGGCCTTTCGGTAAGTTCGCCACCCGCGGAGCCACCCATAAACTGGTGTTGCAAGTTCTCGCAATCTTTGCCTGAGGGTATTTGAAGGAGATCATCACCTTTGGTGGCCTTGGACTACGAGAAGCCCTACTAGCTGGTGACTGAGGAGGTTGCTGACGAGAACCAGGACGTGATGGACCAATCTGAGATGAGTGGCCTGGCACAAGCAGTAATAGCTGCGGCGACGGCAGCGGCCCAAGCGGCCCAGGCAGCGACATCGAGTGGACATGCTGGAGGATCAGGTGAGGAGCATGGAGTTTTGAAGAAGGATTTGGCCAAGTTGATCCCGAGGCCAAGCACGTTCAACCCCATCGACAGGGAGCAGGAAGTTTTGCAATGGAGAGACTGGTACTGGACCATTAAACAGTACTTGGTGGTGGTGGATAGTGCCTTTCAGGAGGAGCTGGAGAAGCTTGAAGCCAACTCTGGAACAGAGGTGGGTTGCGAGCTTTTGGATGAGGGCGAGCAGCAGCGGAGTCGATTTCTCTACAGTTTGTTGGGAAGTTTGGTTCAAGGGAGGTTGACAGGAGTCATAAAGAATGTGGAGAAGTTCAACGGCATGGAGGCCCTCAGACAGCTGTTGATGAACTGTCAACCCCAAGCTCGGAACCGAACCATGAGCTTGCTGCAGGGCATAATGTCCTATCCGAGTTTCAATATGAAGAGCTCCTTACTGCCCCAGATCCTACAGCTGGAAGAGCACTACGTGCAATATGAGCGCCTTGGTGGAAAGCTGTCCCAGGACATGAAATCCGCTGTCCTGCTCAGAGCTGTGCCCGGCCAGATGAAAACTCATCTGAACTTGACCCTGAATGAAGGCAGTTCCTATGGCAAGATCAGGGAAGCAATCATCGCCTTTGACACCGCCAGGACCAAATGGAATGAGTCAGGTGCTTTGACTTTTTCTGGAAGAAGCCCAACAACAACTGATCCGAATGGTGTGATGCCAATGGAGGTCGACAGGATCAAGGGTGATGGAAAGAAAGGAAAAGGCAAGTCCAAAGAACAAAAGGGCAAGCCGAAGGGCAAAGATGACAAGTCCAAGAGCAAGGGCAAAGGTGGCAAGTCCAGTAGAAAAGATGGGAAAGGCAAGGGTGGCGGAAAGGATGGAAAAGGTGGCAAGGGAAAGAATCCCAGTGAAGTGTGTTGGACCTGTGGCAAACCAGGCCATTTGGCCAGAGATTGCTGGCGGGTGAGACAAGTGGAGGCGCCAGCCATTCAGAGCATTGCAGGTTCGCACACAACTTCACCTTCGACTACTTTGACAACGAGCTTGACAAGTGGTGGAGGTGGTGAGACAAGTGCCAACGCCAAGAACATGTGATCTTCGACTTGCGAGAACTGGTTCAATTCGAATGGTGAGCCAAGTTGAATTTTTCAACATTGCCTCAGATGATGAGAATGAGTATGACGGCTATCAGGTGAACACGGTAGTCGAGACCGACAATGAGGAGGTGAACTTGGAGCTCTACGAAGAGGGTAGTGAGAGGCAGTCCTTCAAGGTGATTGTCGACTCAGGTGCTGATGCTTCAATCTTCCCAGGGAACTTTCCTTGAGAACACGGTGAGCAGCAAGGCATTGCAAGAGGCGCCCCATTTGCAGGACGCTCAGGGCAAGAAGATCAAGAGCTATGGCCACAAGGATGTGGATATCATGATGATGACGTCCGAGGGCCAGTCTGTGGTCTTGATTGAAGGAAAAGGTCACGTTTAGTGACATGGTGAGTCAGCCGATCCTCTCCTTTGGTTGCTTGATGAGGAGTGGATGGTCCATTGATGGGCAAAAGGAATGCCTGAAGAATGGGAATCTAGAAGCCCCTTTGGCGTTTCAGAATCAGAGCTTGGTGGTGGACGCTTCGATCAGAGTCATCACAGAGCCCATGGTGATTCGCACGCTGGGGGTCAAGCTTGGAGACGAGCTTGTGAGCGTGGCCAACAGTGGCTATGGGTGGAAGAAGAAAGATGATTTTTGGGTAGATTTGCATCTCAGCACCAAATTTCAGAGTCCACAGTTCATTCTTGGCTTTCGTGATCAAGGAGAGGGAGTTTGCAGGTCTACCTTGGTGGAGCGAGATGGAGGCTGGGAACTTGTGGGATTGACAGTGCAGTCCAATTGGGTCCCAAGCCAGACATGGAAGATTTGGCTATTCCTCAAGCTGGAGACGAAGAGGTTGAAGAGCTGGGAGGAGGTGAGATTCCAGCAGGAGAAAGGCAAGAACAAGGCCGTGATCTAGAAGATCAGATGGTCCAATATGAGGTTGGGGTTGCTCTCCCTGAAGAGATCAGGGTGAATGATGTGGCTTTGACAATGGAGAGTCCGTTGAGGAGCCTAAGGGCAGCTTGCGCTTCCAGCAGACTGGTAGCTCACCAAGGAGCTCTGGAGCTGATGATGGCAAGAGATTTGGCTGCAAGAGGACAAGCTATGAGCCAGAGAATTCCGCTCGAGCAGGTTGCAGCCAAGGTCCCCACAGAAGCTGAGAGGAAAGCTCACGAGCTGACACACGTTCCATACGCCCCGTGGTGTCCGGCGTGCATCAAACATCGAGCACGACCAGACCAGCGTAGAAGAAGTGGTAAGTCACATGATCAGGGATGCCCCACTATCTCATTCGACTTTTGCAAGGTGAAAGCGAAGGGGTCAGAAGCTTTGGGCGCTGAGGAGGAGGATCAGGCCCAGGAGGGTGTCCATGATGATGAAAGCGGCGCACTTTGGCTGATTGCTGTGTGCTCAGAAACAGGGTCTTTGCTGGGTCTCCCATTGAAATCGAAGAACCAGATGAATCTCATCACTCATGAGTTGCTGGCATTCACCCAAATCTTGGGGCATGAAGCAGTGCAGTACTACTGCGACAATGAACCCACAGCCAGGCAAATTGTGCGTCTTCTGGTTTCCTCAAGAACAGCCATGGGATTGAAGACAACAATGCGCGCGACAAAACTCCATGACTCGGCCGGGAACTCTCTGGCTGAGAATGCGGTGCATCGAGTGAGAGGTTTAGCTGCTTCAATGATGGGGAGTTTGGCTGAGAAGATCGGACTCAGGTTTCATCACCAACATCCCCTATGGTCATGGGCCTGTCGACATGCAGCGTGGACGCTGAACAGGTACCAAGTGTTGAGGGGTACCACTAGCTTCGAGCTGACGCACTGAAAGGCCTATGAGGGCAAGATGTGTCCTTCTGGGGAGGTAGTCTTCGCCTACTCCAAGCAGAAGTAGTCTTCGCCTACTCCAAGCAGAAGCAGGGGTTCAAAGCTGACCCAAGGTGGAAAGTAGGAATCTGTCTTGGCAAGACTGAGATGCAGGATGCTTGGGTCATCGGGGACGGAAACCGAGTTTTTCTGAGCAGGTCCTTGAGGAGAGTTGCAGATGCTAGCGCTCGCTATTTGGCTTGCTACCAGGCCTTCACAGCCTACTCGTGGGAGTTTCAACAAAACTTTGGTGGCAGGATTGTGCCATCAAAGCGAGTGGCAACTATGGTTGGAGGACCATTGCTCGGGCTACCTACTGCTGAGACAAAAGGAGTAGGCCTGGATGATGCTGATGCACGAGAGATCATAGCTTTTTCAAGTCCTATGCTGGGAAGTTGGAGGAAGTGAAAGATTTGGTGGAGGTTGAAAAGAAGCAGTCCGGTGCCACAGAAGTGCTGACTGAGGAACTGAAGCTGGCAGAGGAGAAGAAGCAGAACTACGTCGAGGAGAAGGTCATCGTCCCAGAGATCAAGACTCGAGATGCCAACAGCATTGATGAGGAGCGCAACCAAGCAGGACCTTCTGTTCCGGCAGCTACTCCCAGGAGTTTGGCGCAGAAGATGAGCTTGGAGGCAGAAGGTACCCCAATAAAGCCCGTGCATGAAAGTGAAGGTGAGATGTCTGAGCCGAAAAGATTGAAGACATCTGGAGGTGGTACACAAATTGAGAGGAGAGTGGAAGCCACCGCAGTTGGGGAAGACACCTACTATCACATGGACCAGTTCTTTGGAGAGGAGGAGATTTTGGAAGAAGAAGAAGACTCCCCAAAGGTGTCCATTCCCTCGGAGTTGTGGTCTTCAGCTTCTTTGGAAAGGGTACCACCCGATCCACCTTGCTGGATCGACGAGTTGGCTGATGCCGTAGAAGAGCAGAGACTGCTGAACATGGGAGTTCTGGAGGCGATGGAAGAGGAGAAGGTGGGATTTAAGAAATTGACCACCCGGTTCGTCAGAGACTGGAGAGTGAAACCCCAACTCACTCGACTTAACACTTCACACTGAACACTTAACAGATAACTCACACTCTGACTTCCTACGTGATGAAAAATGCTTTCGGGCCACTCGTCGTCTAGTATTAAGAATATTTCAATTATTGAGTCTTCTATTTCAAAAACAATTTAAGTATTTTACACGTTTGGTATTCGGCGAAATGTTTGAACTATTGAAAAATATTGAACTTGAAGGGTTTGCAAATTCCAGAAATCAGTTTAATTTTTCAAACCTTTAAAACACTTAGTTATAAGTGATTTTAATGTTTTAATAAGAAAAAGATAGGAAATATTGAAAAATATTGTTCTTTTTTTTTTAAAGATAGTTTTAGAAATTCAAGAAAAGTTTTAAATAGGCACCGTATTTCAAATTTATGTTTAGTTAAATTTTCTATTTTTTAACTGTTTTATATATATATATATTGATTTGATTCCTGGAATTGGCGACCCCTTTGAAACCAATATTTTACATTTTGTACTAAGCGAAATTGAATTCAGTCTTTAAATTCAATGGAAACCGAACAAGTTAGAACTAATAAACTTTTGTTTTATGTTAAAACGATTTAAAACACAAAAATACTTAAAATATTGAGTTCAATTTTAGTTAAATACCTTTAATATATTCTATATTTTAAAGGGCTGAATACTTATAAAAAATATCTAAAATATTGAATTGAAATTGAGTTATCTTTCCCGAATGCGTAGCGAAGGGTTCTCGTTTAACTCTTGGGGTCTAGGGGTAGAGCCTTGTTCGCGACGTGTTGTTTCTGCGTTCGCAACCGTCCGCAACCGCTCGCAACCGTCCGCCGCCGTTCACAGTAGGGCGCTAAGGCTGCTGCCATTGGGGGAAGCTTTTGGAGAGGGTTTCGGATGAAAACGCGACGTGTCAGATTCGTGTCAAATAGCGTGGAAAATAGTGGAAATGTAAGATGTTGAAGTATATGGAGGTTGAGTTCTCTGCGCAGGCACAGCGGTTTGTGAGTTCCGCAGTGTTCTGCGCAGTTCCATTGGGATTAGCGTTTGGAGAGTGGTGTTTTTTGGGGTGTTGAATGTGTCCGTGCCATTGGGGTTTGCGTTTCAGGGTGTTGCGTCGAAGCTCTGTTTTCGTGACGCGTTTCAGCTGAAATGGCGATTTTGGTGGATGGGAGTGTGCTCAGGACGGGTCGAAATCATTCCAAACGTGTGGTGTGGTGCAAAATTTGTTGAAGCTCACATGACATGATATTGTCACTTTTCGTGGCAGGCGCGGTACTTTGTGCGGGTTTTGAGGTGTGGAAGTGCGATTTTCGTGGCAGGCGCAGGGAATCGTGAGGTTGCGAGGTGCGACGGAGGTGACTTTTCGTGGCAGGCGCAGTACTTTGTGCGCGTTAGACGTGTGGACGCGGAAAGATTTGTGGCAGGCGCAGGGAATCGTGAGGTTGTGAGTTGTGGTAGAGGTGAATGTCGCAGCGCCATTGCGCGGCCTTGGTGGGAAGTGTGTTTGCGTGGCGCCGTGCCACTAGGGAGCGCGAAACATGCTGGTGTA